TTCTTTTTGTACTGCATGCTAATATAGAATATATTTTTATGCCATACGTTCTATAGTGCCTGACCATCTGGAGAAAGTCCTAAGAGAACAAATTGCTGAGGGGCAACCAAGGACACATAGACCTTGGAAAAAGATTATGGTTTTAGTGGAGGGAATATACAGCATGGAAGGGGAACTCTGCAAACTTCCAGAGATTGTTGCCATATGCAAAAAGTATAGGGTAATGCATCTTTTTGATGGAACTCTTGTTTGAGATTTTGTGCTCTAGGTAGAACGAGGCATGAGAAGTCTTGCATTGTCTTGGCGTAAACAAGTCCGTTATCTGGAGAAAAAAAAACTTTTACAAGGAATTGATTAGAAAATTTTTCTACCCAATAAAGTTATCAAGAAGTAGAGTGTGGCTTGTCAATAATATAAATCTTCTGGTTCATCGAAAGAGATCTGTTCTAGTTTGTTTCTGTTTTCTTGTTTTTCTATTTGTTGCATCACATTCTTTTTTCGTGATTGGTTGATAACTTCTTTTAATTGCATCTCCATCTATACTAGCCTTTGTTTTTTTAATTTCTCTTTCATATGGTTAATTGTATAGTATTTCATCTTCTTGCTTTCTGATTCTCTTGTATTATCAGTTTTACTGACAGTCAAATTTGTTCTACTCTTTGTTTCTAGGCCAAGGGTCAATTTTTTACTCTTTGTTTCTAACTCAATACTCTTTCAGGCATATGTTTACTTGGATGAGGCTCACAGCATTGGGGCAATTGGCAAAACAGGGAGGGGTGTTTGTGAGCTATTGGGAGTTGATACAGCTGATGTGGATATTTTGATGGGAACTTTCACAAAATCGTTTGGGTCATGTGGTGGTTATATTGCAGGGTCTAAGGTTGGTTTTGAGCATCATTCTGATAGAGATCTATAACTTCGCATGCAATGTTTGTGAGAACAAATTTCACTTCATTGAAGAATTAACCTGCCACATGCACATCAACCTCCCAGAGGGCACAAAATAAATCACAGTTGCATCGTGAATGATTCTTGATGACGACTGTGTTTTAACGTAGTTGTCGAAATGAACAGAGTTAGACCATGGAAGAGGATTGATATAATTTTGTTGAACAAGATTGAGTCTTATTGTCCTAAATTATGCTTTCCATGGTTTGTAGCATTATTACAAAAAGCAAGTTTTCAGTCTTCGGGCAATATCTCATTGAATTATTTTGCACTGGTTGGCGCAAATATTATTTACTGTGTAGCAGGTTTCCTTTTTATGAAGGCTAACATTTCATGTTGTACTTGTAGGAACTTATTCAATATATGAAGTATGCTTGCCCTGCTCATCTGTATGCTACATCAATTTCTCCTCCAGCTGCCCAACAAATTATTTCTGCCATAAGGGTCATCCTTGGGGAGGATGGTACTAGCAGAGGTAGGAGACTTTCCTGCACTGGATCATATCTATTGTCTTCTCAAGCTTGTTGCATCTGGCCATATTTAATGTTGGTAACTGCATTAATGTTGTCATGGCTCTTGTAGGCGCTCAAAAGCTAGCAAGAATACGCGAGAATAGCAACTTTTTCCGTTCTGAGCTACAGAAAATGGGATTTGAGGTTTTGGGAGATAATGATTCTCCTGTAATGCCTGTAATGCTCTACAATCCGGCAAAAATACCTGCTTTTTCACGGGAGTGTCTCAAGAATCAGGTAGGCTTTTTTGTCCTTTTCGCCTTGGTTTAGTGTGTAACTTTTGACATTTGTAATGGAGGTTTTGAATTGCAGCAACATAACTGTTTCAATGGGAATGCCACTTGTTTTGTGATTGTCCAATTTGCTTTACTGGCCATATTTGTTCTTATTTGCACTTTCTGTTATTGCAGGTGGCTGTTGTTACGGTTGCGTTTCCAGCTACACCTTTGCTGTTGGCTAGAGCTCGCATCTGTATTTCTGCTTCACACACAAGGGAAGATCTCATCAAAGCCTTAGAGGTAGGGGCCCTATCTCTGAGATTTATATTCTTTTGATTTAGCACTATTAATACCTGCACCTGTACCTAGGACGATAGGGCACCTCATTTACAGGTTTTTTTTTGGGAGGGCTGTCGTGGCCTTAGAAGTATCTACTATCATCTCTTTCTTTTGTCCCCGGCCCTTCACGTGTGTTTTTTGCACCTGCTTTAAAAGTTTGAACTCTTGAAGCATTTATTCCTTTAATTTGCAAAATTATTGTGGATGGATCAAAATATGTGGCAATATTATGATGCTGAATTGCAGTGTACCGGATTTACGTATCTAAATCCTATACGGAAAACTCATTTGTCCTTTTTTTGTTTGGAAAAAGGTTTTCAGCAAAGTAGGAGATCTAATAGGCATTAAATACTTCCCCGCCGAACCCGATAAACAACAGCAAGATGAAGGCAGAGTTAAGTTAGAGTGAGGGAGGGTGCGAAGGAGCTCTACAATTGCTCTCCGCTGATTTATGATTGGCTGATAAGTGATACCTTCGTGTGAGGTGCTAAATTTTGTCTATTTGTGTGTACAGGGTACGTATCTTTTCATGTCGGATGTTCAAGTTGTACTTTTGGTGGTTAGTTTTTTTTTTTTTTTTTTTCGGAGTACAACACTGTTACAACGTTGTTACTTTAAGATTAAATACGCAGGTTATGTATTGCTATAATTGGCAGTACGTCCAGATGATACTTTGGCTAGCGTGTTTCAGTTCTTGTGACCTGGATCATAAATACTCTTTTAAGTAGCTTTCTTGGGAAATCGAAATCATGCTAATACCGTTCAAATTTACTATTGGCTTTTTTGTAAGAAAAACAGTAAGAAAATGTGTGTCCACACATCGTACGGATGTTCAGGTCTTTTCTATTGTTGTCTAAAATTGGTACCCCGTCCAACGCTCCTATTTATTATTTGGAATAATCTCTAAATGAAACGAAACCCCGTCCACGTTCTTAATTAATTTTCCGGAAAATAACACTACAGTATCACGTGTGAGAATAGTAGCAATGAGTAGACGTATGCATGAGGGATGATGCTTGCTTGCAATTTGTAAACAAAACAAATGTGCATGTGCAGACACAACACATGCAAACAAGCATTGTTCCATGTGCTGAGCATGAAAACGTACAGATGATGGATCTTTATTGGTGGTTGCATGTACAGCTTCTTTGCTCAGAGTCTCTCAAAAGAGAGAGAATCACGTCTCCGGATTGAAACACCAACGCAAGCAAAATTATTACCTGGGTTCACAATCTTTTGTTCAGGCAATAAAGTGCCCAAATTTCGGTTCATCAACAACACATACACATTGTTAAAAAGCCACAATGAGATTTAAAAACTGTTAACCAGATGGTAACTGGAATACGAACGATGCATCGATAGAAGGATACCTTAAAAAGCAGCCAAATCTAGACATGCGTATCTAAGCAGAACTAAAGAGGCTATGAGGTTTGAAGGCACTCATTCATATACAAACAAAATAATTTTTTTTTTTTAAATCTCCTTTTTCCCCCTTGTCACAAGAGAAAAGGTGTCAGGGTGAAAGGCATACCAGAAATTTAGGCAACAGTAATGCAAGAATGCTCCAAAATATTAACACCAATCCCAACTCACAAAGAGCATATTAGCGCCATTTAGTAGCCAAAAGCAAATAATTGTCGAGTCTAGGAAGGTCCAATAAAACTCATCTATGTACAAAATTTTCTACTCGTTAGGTCTATTGGCCGTGGATAATTTCAGGCTTCAATATCAGAGGAATCCAATCATGAGTACACCCCACACTCATGCACCAGCACAATGAACCAGGTTATAGGGGAAAACAATAAGGCTTTCAATGTATATCCCCAGTTTTCTCAACTCATCACAAATCTGTAGAGCCTAGTCCAAGGCTAAACATCCCTTGAGCAGGTAAAGTCTCTAGTCATTTGCTCTGTTATAACTAGTGGACATGTAAATTAGGGTCCCTCACTAGAATAGACTAGATTGCGGACGTTTTATTCTCTCTAAATTTGATTTCCAGCTTATGTTGCCCACAGAGCAACCAAATTCTAATTACGACAGAAAATCGTAGAAGGCACCTCATTCATTTTGGTAGCAATAAATTGCAACCTGATCTTCAAGCCAAATTATTCTCCTAAGTGTGGTGCACACAACAATCACAAAGAAACTGAAACTGAACCACTTAAAAGCAGACAAGCAGCCGCTAGCTGAGCCAAGTAAGAAGAGGACTCTTTGTGAGCTTCTTTACTGCAGACAAGTTTGTAAGTTTTGTGTGTGTGTGTGTGTGTGTGTGTTTTTTTTTTTTTTTGTGGGGGAGGGGAGAACTTGCTCATCAACTTGCGCAAGTCATAATCTTGAAATATTCCAGCCTACACTGCTGTGGTCATAATGTGACTACAAACCGGAAAATGACAATAGTTCAAGATGCTATTAATTCTGGCCCAAACTCAATCATATTACTTTCAATCAAAGATTACTATATATATGCATTAAAGGTACTCGTTTCTAGTGCTTAAGTATGAAATAAAAAGATTAGCAACATAAAGCATACTTAAGTTGAACAATATGCATAATGCAGAGGACACGCACCAGTTCAGAAGAAAAAGCCATCACAAGCACTAGTTCAGAAGAAAAAGCCATAAAAAGAGAGGAGAATTTTGTTGAAGCAAAAGAGAGTCTCATCACAGAAGTTACAGCAACTATTATCACATAAATGTATCATCACTCAGTTTGACCTTGCGGTTAAACAGTTATTGGCATACGCTTAACTATGAACTACCTCAGCAAAGTCAAGACTAACTAGAACAATATATACCATGAGCGGACATCGATTAGGAAAAAAACACAAAATCTAGGGAAATTCATAAAACAAAAACCATAATTCTGCAAAACTATTATGTTAGGCTGCAAAGAAGATACCCCCAAATGGTTGCTGACCGCCCAACCCTCCTAGTAAACTCTTGATGCTAAATCTTCTCTTTCCACATGCCAGAAACTTCATCATCTAGGAGAATCCCTTATTGAGCTTCTGAATTGAGCAATACATTTTCCTCCGCGTCCCAACAGCATTAATTCCCATATCCTTCAAATCCTCCAGTGTCAACATTGGCAAAACCTCATCATCCACCTCATGAATCTCGAAAACTGGGCCATATCTCCCTAAGCCCAACTGGTTCAACCAAGCCTTCACTCCATTTCTCTCTACCGAATCACTAGGCCCCTCCATTTCATCAGAAACCCTAGTAGTCACTCTCCTGTTTTTCTCCCCTAATTTCAAAAACCCTCTTTCTCTCTCCACATCAATATCCTCATCATTATTCTCAAAAGAACGAATTGGGCTCTCATTTCTGTCCACCTCCTCATCAGAGTTTTCACGTGCAAAATCCCTATCCATCCCATCATCATTGTCCAAATGAAAACCCTCTTCCCCATCCCCTTCCCCTTCACCTCCACTGGTCAATAATTTCCCACTTTCATCAACTTTAGACGAAACCCAATTCGACCTAACCCTCTTCCTAATAGAACCCCCTCTCCCCCTCTTCGATTTCATCGACGAATCCCGAAAAGTTTTCCAGCTCCCAATAGCAACCCTATCCAAATCCATATCCCCTTCATTACCTTCCTCGCCTTCATTAACAAAACCCTCAATCCCATCTTCGCTATTGCTAATCCCATTCTTATCCACCGCTAGGGTTTCATTATTTCTCAATCTCGAACCTTTCTGCTGCTGCTGCTTCCATTGATACTGCAGCTGCTGCTTGGATGAGGCCCTCCTATGTTGCTGGTGCAGGTGTTCATAGGCCGCCAGTGGTGGGTCGCCTCCAATGTCGCCTAATCTCACACTCGGCCTTCTCTGCCTCTTCGTCGCCGTCCCCACCATCGTCTCCCCATTTCCTGCTCCTCCTCCTCCGCCGCCGCCGCCGTTAATTTGTCCGTCAAGTGGGTTTAGCTCGGCCATTATTCTCACCTATAAAATTAACTCTTCAGCCTCCCTAATCTCTGCATAAAATATACTACTCCAGGAAAATGTTGACTTTAGATTAAACTGTATAGGACTGGGGTTCTGGGGTTTGATTAATTTAATTGGGATTTGTGGAAAAAGTGAAGAAATCGGAAAGGTGAAAAGTAACAACTACCGTAGTTTGAAGAGGGAGTTATGCAGCTGAGATTGTGAGAAAGAGAGAGTTCAAAGAGGAAAGAGATGTATTGGGCCGCCTGAGGTTTTAATGTTAATTGAATGATGTACAGTGTTTTATTCGTATTTATAGTGGGAGTGGTGATGTAATTATTGTTCAGTAAGCTTTGGTAAAGGGGCGGATGACACGTGCTCTTGAAGAGTGGGGATAAGAATGAATGATTGTGAAAGAAATTTTTTTTTTTTTTTTTTTTAGCCTCTTACAGCCTTCTTCTGAGCCCCTTTTGCTACCTTAAAATTTCTCCCTAACCGCTGGATCGACCCCGAGAGTTAAATGGAGTGAGAGAATGAATGTTGTAAATTCTTAATTTTCTCCAATTAACTGATTGAGGGAATAATAAGGGTGACAGGTTGGTACTGGATTCTTGCACATGTGTGTTTGAACAATGCATTATTTGAAATAATTATTATAATATTTTTTATGATGTGATGTATATAAAATTAAAAAAAATAATTATAAATATAAAAAGATAATTAAAAAATATATTTATGATGTAAACGAAATATTATTTGACAAATTTGAGCTATCCAAACATAGAACTTGCTTGCGATTATTTCACTATAGCTTATATCAATCTTGATGTTGGGTAAATTTACAAGGACTTATAAAATCAACAACTTCTTGGGTTCTTGGTAACCATTAAGACTTTAAAGCCTTGACAGAGGTGGAGGTCAAGATTTAAAACACTTAATTGTGACTGTCACTTTCAAATGGCTTCCTGGTTAGGTTCACTTTCTCCTAGGTTAGGTTAAAGTAGCTTAAACAAATATTACATTGCGACTAGGAAAAAGAAAAAAAAAAAAAACTTTACAAGGGCTTATAAGCATAACCGCGTAGGAAAAGAAATGTACAAAGTAGCTGAGTTCGAGTAGAAATTTGATTCCATCAAGTCACGTTAAAGTTCCAATTCTTGTATGTTCAATTGAAGATTTTCCCAGTCGCTGATAATCCCTGCAGTTTCAGCCAGGTGGTATTGGTTTAGGCCCTTTATGGTTTATTTTTCCCCCAGAGAAGTAGTAAACTGCTCTAGAATCAATAATGTTTTGCTGTGTGCTCGTACAATTGCTTTGGACTACATTTTCAAGTTTTATTGCTTTGACAGCTACAAGCAAATCCATTGGCAGTAAATAACTCCCCCCTTTGTAATCCGCGATTGAATCAGATAGCGTCGAGTGAGAGCCTATAATTTGCCTTCAATTTGATCAAAGGGGAAGGTGAGATCTAATCCATGAAACTAAAATCCCAAGGCAGTAATTAAACATTCAACCTTTGACCAATCCAACAAAATAAAAATCCACATCGGGAACTAAGGGCAGTGTACATTTAAGATAGTACTGTGACATCCGCAAGTGTGAGTTCTACATGTCAGGCTGTTCGTATTAGTTGCAATGAACCGGCTATGCTAAGGAAACAATGGACGAATAAGGGTATAAGTATCAAACCTGTAACAACCAGTGCAACAGAAATCAAGCGCCAAAACTGAAGCAGTAGCCACCAACGTTCATCATATCCTTCCCTCTAATCATCGAAATTCTCTCCACAGCAAAACAATCTGCATTTCACTGACCAAAATGATCTGCATTATCAACTAGCGGTAGTGGGAGAGTGCCATGAAAAATAAGCGAACATGGCAGTTTCACTTCTGCAGCCTGTAAAAGAACAGGTAGTTCATTTTCCTGACCATCCAAATCTCATGCAGCGTTGTCAAAGCCTGATACGCAGAAGTCAACCAATGAACTCAATCTCTTGGAACTGTGCAAAGCAGACCATGTCCTGGATTATGTTCCAAAGGATACATAGTGGTAGCTTTTGCATATTTTTGATGCTCAATTACTGCACTTCTTATGCTCAAATCCCTTGTAGCCTTTCTGATGATTGCTTCTTGATAATGGAACACCCAGAGAGTGGATCTCCAGATCCTGCCCCAACCCTCCTATTCACATGAGCAATATGCTGAATTACAGAACTGCTGCAATAACTAGTTTGAAAGCATTTGATTTGTAATGAAAGAAGTAGAGAAACAAGAGGGTATAGGCATTCAAAGAGATCCAACTGACTTCCATGGTTGATAGCATTAAACCTAATGTAACTAGAGAAAATGGTGAAAGAAGGGAAATATAATAAAGGATCCTTGGCACATAATACAGAGCATACACCCTAAACCAGTAACAAACTTTCTGTTGTCAGCACCCCTAGTATATTGAAAGTATTAGCACAGACCTTGTCAGACAAATAGCAAAAGGCCCGTAGAGAGCCATTTAACAAGAAAAATGCTGATGCCTTCCATCATTTTCTTCCAACAAGTCCTAAAACTATGAAAGATAGAAGAAAAGGTTCAACTGCAAAAACTAACCATAGAGATGATAAAGAGAAGGAAACAACTGTAAGTTAGGTTACCTCAATAGTTTCTCTGATGCAATTCTGGCAGCAAGTATTAATCTACGGTCTGGTACCCACTTCACAGCACGATTAGGATCAGCACGCATTGGTGAATGAATTCTGATAAGCTTACATAAAAAAATTGGAAGTGATCAACAAAGGAATATCCTCGAGAAACACACATTAAAACATGACAAAGTGATAGATATGATTCTGTAATCATGTTCATCTTCCAAGCAAGCAGTTTTCCCTGGAGAATGATTCACTTTGCCCAGTGTTGTTTGGCGTTCACGCATTTTAATTCACAGACCACACACTATTGGCAAAAGTAAACCGAATAACTACATATGATACATATATGAAGTCTATATTGCAAAAGCTTGAAAATTAAAACATATCTCAAATCAGTTTGATTGTCTTAAGGCAATTCTTTACTTGGAGGGAAAAGAACTCGAATTTAGAAAGATAAAGAATCTATAGACTTACTCCCAGACATTCCATCATTTGGTAATAAGCCCTGCCCTGGAGAGGAGTATGACCTTGTCGAGACTCGGAGAAATATCGCGTCCTAAAATGAAGTTTGATATACTCATGAGTTAATACTATCTTACGATTGTTAAAAATCAATGAACTACCAAATTCCACTCTTACAAGTGTCTCAGTCACAACATACCACTCTTTATAGCCAGGATCAACAGTAAAACCATACATGTCTACACTATCACAGATGGAGAGTGCAAATTCGAGTGCCTTCAGCCCTGTACCTTTTGCTGCTGAACCAAAGGATGCACCCAACATGAGATATATTGGGTTGAGAATTGGAACTTCCTATAGATCACAAAAACCGAAAAAACTGAGAGCATATTAGGGCGTAACAGGACAAGGGGCAAAGTCCAAGACGTCAAGTTATTGACTGCTATACTTTTCTCATCAAGCAAGTTGTTAACATGATATGAACTTGGAAGGATAGGTTCCAAAGAAAAAAAAGGACCAGCGAAAGAGGATTCCAGCAAAATAAACATGAAAATGGACAATTATATTATCAAAAGTTAATTGATCATATGTGAAAACTAGCCTTTCCATTCGTATCCCTCTCCTTAAAAGAATTATTCCATTAAAAATGCAAAATTAGATAAGAGAAATTAAAAATGCAATCCATTCATCCACCTTGTACAAATGCAGAAATTAATGTACACAAACATCTCGTTGTGTGACTTTCGCTGTTCTTTATAATCTGTAAGATTGGCATCTTAAAGACACTTTAACTTTACAGTCATGATATCAAACATATTCCAATCATAAAAAATTTCCAGAGGGCAAAACATCAAATCCATAATGTCAAATAGCTTTATCATTTTCTAGGGCATCTTTCAGAAGGTTACTTCCTCAGAAAACCTGAGTCCTTTTAAGATATAAACCACTTCAACAAACAATTGGTAGTCAATACCATCATTGTCAAATTCTCATAATTGAAGAACTTATATTCGTCTTCTTTTAGGTAGCACAGCTGCCATCGTTATACTCAAGCTAATTAGTTCTCATAAGAAGAACAGCACCTTTACTCAAAGTGTATTTATTAATCAGTCACATGCATTAGTCCCACACATACACTTAAATATAATTAGTCACATCACAATCGCATGCCATTTGTCCCATACATAAATTATTCCTCATGTGACATCAGAGCCCTAAAGTTTAAAAGATAAACAGCATTCCTCCATCCAAATCACCTCCACAGATGACAACTCCAATGTTATTTATATTAGAAAGTCAAACCAGAAGTTGTTTTAATTGAAAGAGAAAATGTACAAACCCGAATCATTTTGTTCATGATGTCATGTATCGTTGTTTTGATTATGAGAACCTCCTTTCCTCTCTCTGCATGGTCAAAATCTTTAGTTAGTTGCAAATAGGAGAGGGAAAAAAAAACAAAAAGGCCCGTGCAGAGAGCAGAACAAAGTAAATACCATATAATTCTGCGACTTTATCAAGGGCTTTGGCAGATCCTCTATTCAGAAGACGAAATGTACTTTTTGTACCCACATATTCTGTAAAGTTCTGCAGATCAACAACAATAGAATGTATTAGCTAGCACTTTATTAACCAGTTGACAACACAAAAATACCAACAAAAGTGGATAAAATCCACAAGGTAGCTGTACAAACCTGGATTGGGGCTCCATTCTCCCTGACAACAGCATCATAACCATCGATTTCCTTGCCAAATTTGGTCTTCAATAGATCTCCAGAATTACCAATGACAGCACAGCTGCCAAACTGCCTTGGCAAATAGGGTGGTCTTTCAGGAAGCACCAAAGAAAGTTTCTCCTCACAGAGTGTTCTATTTGCACATTGATTTCTGTGAGAGAAGACATGAAGAAATT